CCGGCAGCAACGCTTCCATTCCATAAGCTAAGCTGAACGGGGTTTCTCCTGTTGTCAACCTCGGGGTTGTGCGATACGCCCACAGTATAGAACTCAGCTCATCGACCCATGCTCCCGAGGCCTTCTCCAACTTTGTTTTCAACCCATTCAGTATAATTCGGTTTGTTACTTCGACCTGGCCATTGGCTTGCGGATGAGCAACGGAGGCAAAGTGTTGCTCGATTTTCATGTCTTCACACCACGCGCGAATCCGCTTACCATTGAATTGGGTGCCGTTGTCGGAGATCAGCACTTTGGGTACGCCAAACCGACAGCAGATGTTATTGTATAGGAATTTAATTACCTTCTCCTCCGTAATCTTCGCTAACGGCTCGGCTTCCACCCATTTTGTAAAATAATCGACCGCCACTATTAAGAACTTCCTCTGCCCGGTTCCCTGAGGCATCGGCCCCACCAGGTCGATACCCCACTGGGCGAATGGTATAGGGGCACTCATCGTTGTCATTGTTTCTGCCGGTTGGTGAATAAGAGGACCATGTTTTTGACATTGCAAGCACTTCTTCACCATCGCCTTCGCATCTTCTCTCATTGTTGGCCAAAAATATCCGGCCCTCAAAATCCTTGCGACCAAAGCCCCTGACTTACTATGGTCACCACAGCATCCTTCGTGCATCTCTCTCAGCACATATCGACCCTCTTCCTTAGTAACACACCGCAAATTTGGCCCCCCATACGACCGTTTGTAAAGAATACCTCCATGCTCGAAAAATCTCCTCACCACCTTTATCGCTCCTTCTTTCAGCTCCTCCAAGATTGGGGCCCTCCAATCTTCCACTTCTTCGATCTCCGCCACTTCTGCTTCGACATACTCTTTTCCAGATGCAATAAAGTAACACTTCTGCTCCTACAATCCACCAAGCTCTGAGCGATTTTTGATAGCAGGTCCGCCCGACCATTTTCTCCTCGAGGAATTTGTATCAGCTCGAATGAATCAAACTCCTCCTTCAACTTCCTCATCTCATCCACATACTTTTGCATCCGGTCCTCCTTAACTTCAAACCCCTCTTGAAATTGCCCAACAACCAGTTGGGAATCAGAATGCACTTGTAATTTTCGGGCTCCTCCCGCTTTGGCCAAACTCAAGCCTTTGATTACTGCCTCATACTCAACCTCATTATTGGATACCTTGAACCCCACTTTAGCCGCAAACTCCAAGTAATCGCCCTTAGGAGAGACAAGGACAATTCCCAATCCTGCCCCGCTTCGTGCCACAGATCCATCCACAAACAGCTGCCATAATCCTCCTGACTCCTCCTCAACTTTCGTGCCTTCCTGGAAAAAATCAGCCAACACTTGCGCCTTTATGGCCCTCCTCGGCTCGTACAGCAAAGAATATTCACTCAACTCGACCGCCCATTTCACCAATCGACCAGAGACCGATGGTCGGCCGAGTGTTTCTCCCAGCGGCATGTTTGTTCGCACCTTCACCTTATGATTCAGAAAATAGGGTCTCAACTTTCGAGCGGTTACGACCACCGCCAAAGCACACTTCTCGATCTCCGAATACCTCATCTCTGCCCCCTGCATCATCCTACTCACGTAGTAGATGGGAAATTGTGCTACTCCTTCCTCCCGTAACAACACCGAGCTCACCGCCCTCTCTCCTATAGAAATGTATAGCACCAACTCCTCGCCTTGTATGGGTTTAGCCAATAGGGGAAGGTTGGCTAACACCCCTCGCAACTCCTCGAAAGCCCCCTGGGCCTCCTCCGTCCATTGGAATTTCGCACTCTTTGTCAATGTTTTAAACAATGGGCCGCTTTTCTCTGCCACCTTCGATATGAAACGGCTCAGCCCCGCAATTCGACCAGCTAGGATCTGCACTTCCTTAACATTCGTCGGCGACTTCATTTCCATTACAGCTCGAACCTTCTCAGGATTCACTTCGATACCTCTCTTGGTCACCAAGTAACCCAAGAACTTTCCCGACCTCACCCCGAAAGAGCACTTAGCAGGATTCAATTTCATCCCATACCTCCGCAATGTTAGGAATGTTTCTCTCAAGTCTCGAACATGATCAAACTCTTCCTTGCTTTTCACCAGCATATCGTCCACATATAACTCCATGTTCCTTCCCAGTTGCTCCTTGAAAATTTTATCGACCAACCTTTGATATGTGGCACCCGCATTCTTTAGACCGAACGGCATGACCACGTAACAATAGGTCCCTCGATTCGTTACAAAACTCACACGCTTCATGTCTTCTCTTGCCAAGGGAATTTGATGATATCCCTGGGAGGCATCCATCAGGCTCAGCAATTCGTACCCTGCCGTTGAGTCGACCAACTGGTCGATTCTGGGCAGCGGGTATAGATCCTTTGGGCACGCTTTGTTTAGGTCACGGAAATCAATGCACATCCTCCACTTTCCCTCCGCCTTCGACACCATCACCGTATTCGACAACCATTCGGGGAATTGGATCTCTTTGATGTGTCCTGCTCCCAATAGTTTCTCGACCTCCTTCTCAATGATTTTGTCCATCTCCGCCCCATGGTGCCTTCTTTTTTGTTTAACCGGCCTCACACTGAGGTCGATGGTCAGACGGTGCTCGATCACTTCCGCACTTATCCCCGTTAACTCCTCCGCTGTATAGGAAAAAATGTAAACAAACTCCCTTACCAGATTAATAAGCCTCGACCGAATAGGCTCCTCCAAGTCTTTCCCGATTCTGAACTTCCTCTCCTCACACCCCTCGATCATCTGGATCTCCTCCACTTCTCCCCCCGGCTGAATATCCATCTTCTCCTTATCCTTCTCCATTCTCTGTTTATCCTCTTTTGACCTCGACCCTCCTGGTCGATTAATCTCCTCCTCCTTTGACTTGACCTGCCTTCTCGCCAATTGCTTGTTATTGCTCACTATTGTTTGATAGCAGCTCCTCGAAGTGAGCTGGTCCCCGGTAATCTCCCTACGTTTTCGCCCACCGGATATTTGATCGTCATGTGGTACGTGGACACGACCGCCTGGAACGCATTCAAGCTCGTCCGCCCCATAATGATGTTATAAGATGATTCAGCTCCTACGACCACAAACCTCACCATGCGCACCTTCCTCAGCTCTCCCATTCCCAGCGCCACTGGCAAACTCACCTCGCCCATCGGCATCACCTCTCCTCCATTAAAGCCATAGAGTGTCGTGGTCACCGGTTTTAACTCCATATTCAACTCCTTGTTAATTTGCACAAAACAGTCATAGAACATCACGTCCACTGAACTCCCGGTATCAATAAACACCCTTTTCACATCGAAGCCTGCGATCTCCACAGTTATCACCAGAGCATCGTTGTGCGGCAAGACCACCCCCTCGGCATCCTCCGCCTTAAAACTTATCACCGACATGCGAGCCGTAATCCCCACCTCCTTTCTCTTCCTCTTCACAGCTCGAGCATGCTCCTTCCTGGCCCTGTTCGAGACACCATCCGTTGGCCCCCCGAAAATCATGTAGATCGTCCCTCTCTTCATCGGGGATTCTCCTCCATGCCCTCCCTTATCACCGTCTCTCCATGGCTTTTTTCCTCGACCATCTCGACCATCTCCGCCATCTCCTTCCTCATCTCTATCACTCCTTTCCTCCGAGTCCTCCCTACACCTTCTCCTTCCTTTCCCTTTCACCCTATCATGATACACAAATTCTTTCAAATATCCTGCTCGAATCAACCTCTCGATCTCATCTTTCAAATGTCTACAGTTCTCCGTGGTGTGACCATAATCTCGGTGAAAGCGACAGTAGACATCCGACCTAGGTTGAATTGGGCCTGTAAACCTCGTCTTTGGCCAAGTCACATCCTTGCTCAGCATCTTTTGCTCCATGGCCTCGAGGACCTCTGTCATGTCTTTCCTCAAGGGGGTAAAAGTGTGGTATCTCTGTCTTTCGAACAACATCGGCCTCCTCTGCCACTCATTTCTCTTCTCACCTTTCGAGTCTCGGCTCTCTCTTCGGGGTGATGCCCTCTTCTGCTCGCTCCGCTTGGGCGAACTTCTCCTCGGCGATCTCCCCCTTTGTGGGCTTTTTTCCTTTTTTGGCTCTGGCCGGGCCACTCCTTCCAGCTTTGCAAACTCCATCTCTATCTCCTCCAAATTAATATACTTCATGCACCGCTTCAGGACATCCTCATATGATCGAGCAGGAGTCTTTGCCAAAGAAGTTCGACAAGGCCCCGCTTGAAGAATCCTTATCAATCCTCCCGCCTTCACCTCATCTGAAGCCGAGTGCACCTCTAAACACGTCTGATTATATCGAGCAACGTACTTTCTCAACGATTCCTTCTCCCCCTGCCTCATCGCCATCAGGGTCAAATACGTCTTCTCCTGCGCCACCGCGCTCGAATATTGATTGATAAGCTTACTGGTAAAATCCTCAAAGTCCGCGATCGATCCAGGGGGAAGTTGATGAAACCAATCTAGTGCTCCTCCGCGCAAGGTCGACAAAAATGCCCTACAACAAATAGAATCAGAGTATCCATGCAACACAGCCATATTTTCCAAGGTCCTCACATGCCTCGACGGGTCAGATGACCCATCATACGCCAAGTTGGTCTCCTTGAAATTATTTGGTAAGGGAGCAGCGAGAATCTCCCTTGAAAAGGGGTGTCCTCGAGCTCTCCTTTCCGGTCTCCCTTCCACCTTGTCCTGCAATAAGCGCAACTGCTCCGCCATCCTCTCCATCGCCCGATCTCTTCCAACTCCTCCATCTCCATAACTGGACACATCCTCGTCTTGGCTTCCCACCACCGTGGTCGGTGCAGTGGTGGCATGAGATGTGTGGCTTGCGACTTGTTGCACCGCCTGCGCCACCGCGGCCGCCGCTATCCTCTGCATCTCCTCCCTGGTCATCGCCACCATCTGTTGACCAGGAGTTTGTGCCGCTGGCAATGGTGGTGTTCCTCCCTGTGCCATCACTCTCCCTTGCGCCAGCGTTGGATCTGGTGGCGGTGGCGGTGGCATCGCCGCCGCAGCTGCTGCGCGAGCCTCCTGGACCCGATTGGAACCGGTATCTCCTCCGAGGATCGCCGTTGTCACTTCCACACCTTGAAGGATAGGCGTGGGAGTGATCGGTGTCTGCGATGGGCCAGAAAAACCTGGAGGAGGGCCGTGCCCCAACGACCTGGTCGTCGTCCAAGCTTCATCGAACATTGACTGTAAGTTTTTGGGAATTCCGTCCGCCATAGCTGAGCTTCAAACACAACTTTTTAACAAAATCCCCACAGACGGCGCCAATAATGCAAGTGTGAGCGTCCTGGTCCGGTTTGAACGGATCGATCTTTGTCCTCTCCGGTAGAACGCCGGAAACATGCAAATAACTCTCACACCGGGGGTTGTGTCCGGTGAAGAGCCTCCGATGCTTAAGTCAGTATGTGTATCAGTATACCGAAGTGAAGTATGGAAAATAGAATGTCCCGAGGGAGAAAAGCTCACCCCTTTATATAGGGGTGAGATACCTGCCCTAATAGCTGCCCGGATAAGGTGAGTTGGCTGCCCAAGCTGCACGTCCGTACCCTGACACACCGCGCGCATGTCAGAGGTTGCGCGGGGGCATTGGCGAGCTGTCAGAGGTAGTTATCGATATCCACCAATGCATTCTCGACACGTGTCCCCCTGCACATGGGGTAAATATTCTCCTGAGATTTGGTAGGAGGTTCCTGCACGCGCCTGTGACTAGGCCGACTGTTGGTCCTCGAAGTGATCGACCGGATGAGGTCGAATAGATTGCTCGATCATTTGTCTGGTCGAGCGATGGATTGGTCGACTACAAGTTTGGTCGACTGTCTGAATGATCGATCTTTCCGCTTCTTGACTTGGCTTCCTCCTAGTTTGGTCTTGTAAACCGGCTGAGTAGGCCGGTTTATCCTTGTGTATATAGTATCCCATATCACGTGTGTTAGGATTCGTGAGAGTTCGATCATGCAATCGAATTGGTGAGGCTAAGACCCGAGCCAGTTCAAAACTGAGGGAGAGAGGCTAATTACCGAGTGAACTCAAGTATCGTGAGAGAGTTAGGCTAATAACCGAGTCGATCACACCTATCGTCGAGAGCAAGGCCGTGGCGAAGCTGTGTTCGAGACAAGTCAAGGGAACGAAACACACGATCCTTCATCACGCGCGAGTGCGGGGCAAGCACAAAAGTCCTAGGGCGCGATGGTTTAGGCAAGGAGGACAGCTCGCACGCGCAGGGGACGAGCGATAGGCATGCAACACAAGACAACGGGACGCGTGCTGGGCAGGCGTGCACGGACCCTGTCCGCGCAGGACTATGACTGGGAGATGGCGTGCGGTACGAGTGACAATAAACCGAGTCCGCCGAGGTCTAGGGCTCGCGAACGCGCGCGCAACGATGAGGCGGTGAAATAAGGCGGCCTTTCGAGTGGTATTTTTCGTGGAAATCCTAGAGTTATAGGTACTTGGAGTTGTCCTTGATTTATTGGTTTTGGTTTGAGGTTGTTTCGATGTGTATATGATAAGTTATGAATTTTCTAAACCGAGCACGCGTCTGAAATTTTCTAAAATCACTATAATTCGTGTATTGCTCCAAAACTTATGATTTTAGGATATGTAGTTATATTTCTGTTATATTACTTGCAGTAAAAATTTGGGATTTTTATATGGTCTGTAGCCTCGTCAAAACTCGAAAACTATTTCTGGACTATTTTTTAATAAATTCATATAAAATCGAGTTCTTGTCCAAAATGGCTACTTATTGGATATGTTGATGTTTTACATGATATCATGATGCTGTAAAAATATCAAATTTTTCTAAAATACTGTACTGTACTCGGACCAGATCACTGAACACTAAACTGTTCAAAAACCCGGTCTGAACCGGCCGGTTTATTGACTGGCCGGACCACCGGCTTGCTGCGGCTGGACGGTCGGCCGCTGGCTGACCACCAGCCCG